CTTCGAGAGCGTCGAGGGTCTCTAATGACGTATCCCGTGCTCTCTCGCGAAAATGGCTTTGGGAAAAATATCGTTATGCTAATATGCCTCCACCCGAGGAATATGCCGGCGGTTTCGCGTTCGCAGCGGACGAAGTTATACCCTCGAGATGAGCGGCGAGACTCGATATCCGCGCTCTTCTAAGCCGACTCTTCTTACGCGTTCTCTTCCTTCATAAATATTCCGCGGCTTTTGTAATTACCAATGCGCGGAGTCGCTAGGTTTTACCATCCCGTTTCTACTCGTTTGTTATCGCAGACCCTTCGAGAATTGAGATTTATCCAGCGGTCGCGGGGGTGCGGCGGGGACGCGACTCTAGTTGGATGTGCATCGACGCCTTCTGAACTCGACCGAAAAGTTGTCAACCCTGAGGGCGTTCGAGCGCGGACGAAGTTCCCCGGAAAAGGCGGCACTCCGAGCGTTAATCCGAGACGAGCCTGGGAAACTTAACCCGAAACCCTGACATCGACGTCGACGTCGTCGGAGCCGACATCTCGCAGGACGATCGATGCGATGACGTGCCTCGTGTCGGCTCTTTCGTCTCGACGGTCTCGTCTAGTCGTTACCCGCAGCTGCAGCTGCACTCGAGGATCCTCCGCGTGCCGAGGCATATGATATTCCGCGGACAAAGTAGAGCCGCGGTCCCTCGCCGGACAGCCGGAACATGTGCGGAATGGACGCGTTCCTTGTTCTCTGAATCTTTTATAATCGAGATCGTGAATTTTCGCCGACCATTGCGCACTATTGGACACCAACGATTCTTTTTTTATTCCAAATGGAATGGTTGAGGTGATACGAATCACTCGGTGGATAAAAGGGTCATTATATATATAATACATAAAATACATAATACATAAAAATATATAACTTTTCTCTAAACTGGGTGTACTGAATAATTTGAAACATTACCACGTGATTATGGAGGTTCCAATGAAGGTCTTGAAACTCACGAAATTTCATTTTTCTAACAAAAGATGTCTTCTTTTTCGGGCTCTTGTCCGGGATAAATAGAACGTCTTTTTCGCACAATGAAATTTCGAGTTTTGAGACCTTCAGTGGAACCTCCATAATCTCGTGTTAAAGGTTCACGGTATTCGGTGCACCCAGTTTGGAGGAAAGTTTTAAAAATATTTTTACTTTTTGGTGTACATATATATGTCACTTTCATAACACCTTAAGCAAGGGTCGAGCACCATCTTTCGTGGTCACTTATGGGATGGGTGACTGAGAAAACTCTTTTCAGTTTGCGCCGCTTTTTCTGCAGCCCATTCGGAAAACGAAGGCCGCAAACTGACGAAGGTCTTAACCCAGTTTGAAAATTGAACTCGCCTTTCGCGTTCGCAAATGGAACGTCCTCATTTTCCCTTCCCTTTAAGACCGAATGGAGGTGGACGTCCATTCAATTGATCATTTAAACGCTCTTTTGCATAATTACATCGCGACTTTGCGGTCCAGCAGTGTAACGAGGATGTTTATATTCTTTGAGGGACCGACACCGAGCGTTTTTTAAATTAATTCCACTGAATGTAACATTTCTTGCAAGGGTATTCCATGTGCAATCGGAGTTGCAATTTAGTGTAATTAAAATGGGATCTCTCGCAGGGTGTGGACTGGTCTGGATTACAGGTCTGAGTTCCGAGCTTAATGGTTCATTTTCCAACAACTCCCATGCAAATGTCGTCGGGGAGAAACAAAAGTGGCTCGCACCCTTCCCCGGGCTCTTCAAACAAAAGGATTTGCACCCCGCGATGCTGGGCGCGGATAACAATTGTTGCACCCGCTCTATAACACGGGCTGCTAATAATGGCCGCTCAAAATTTCGCCAGCCAAGCCCCTCCCGAAGCCCTGCACTATTATCCATATATTACATCTTCCTAAGATAAAGTGATGCAAGGACCAGAAATCGGTTTGTCATCTTGACACGGTGGGTTGCTATTAAATTAACCCTTTCTCCTTCTCCTTATTAAAATATACATAGTGCACTTATGATGCATAGAAATTCCCAAGTGCTTATAGGCGCCACTAGTATATTAAAGGAAATTTTCAATTTCGCCCATAGACGTTGGTAGCGATGAAAGATTTAATTTCATCTTATTTCATCATTATGCATGAAAGTGGGTAGATCGATTTATTCTCTCGTATCGGCCTCTTAGAAACCCATCTTGGAAACTCATCTAAGACTGATACTCGGGCATTGAGTCCCGCAGTTAGTTGTTAGTTCGATCTCAAGTCGCCATCATACGCGCACAAAGTGCCCCTGGATTCAAAGAACCGGCTCAGAGGACGTACCAGAGGGATGCTACCGAAAGCTCCCCGAAGTGCAACTTTGAAGTCCAATCCGGTCCCAACGGGCCCCTGAGTTACGCTCTTTGACCTACCCACCAAGAACCAATCTCCAGCTCAGGGTCCCCGGGAGTCCTCGTATCCGGTGACCCTTCTTCGAGATTTCTTTTATTCCTCTCCGCCATCCGTCCAGCTCCGCCACCGAGGTCAGGTTGCGAGTACTTGGATTACCTCCAGAATTGTCACGACTAATTACAGCCGACAGCTCTGGGTGGCACCGACCACCGTGAGTGCGCGAACGAGATTCGACGCAGGGTCGAGGCACACTCCGGGTCTTAGACACCATCAGAGCTAATTACTGCCAATGGTAATTATCGACAAGGTACAGCGAGTCTGGAGTGTATCGGAGGCGAATCAGAAATCGCGGCAGCCTTCGCTTCTCTCACCAGACCGAGGATCCGACGAATCTCCAGACTCACTCTTGAGGTTATAATCGAACATAATTATGTTTGGCCTTTTGCTCTCTCTTCGGAATTGGAACATCCCCCAATGCCAACGGCGCATAAAATCAGACAGACCAGGTGCAAGGATGCGGACAAATGATTGGGAAAATTCGCTTCCCTGATCACTTCTCCTTTCTAGGCGCCATCCTCAGGATTGCGAAAGTCTGGATTGTAAGGATGGCTTGATTGGAAACTCTTAAGTGTTTATTGGAACAATAATGACTAACAAAGATGGTGTGTGTGCTGCCGGCCCGCCTGCCGCCTACTTACTGACTCGCCCCTCTTCCTTTCCATTTGCCGGCTACCTCTCGAACACCGATAGGGATACCAACTCCCACAGGATCGAGCGTTAATTAAAACGTTGGGGTAATTCGCTAATATTCGGCGAGCCAAAGGTCAATAGGCCGTGCGGGGGTAGGCTTGAAAGGGGGAAGAATAATCGCCTGCCACGAGGCTATCGACTCGGGTATCGACACTTCACAGATTCTATCACAGGGTCTTGAAAAGTAAACAACAGAAATTTCGGCATCGATGACAGAAGAAGAGAAGAATTTTAAATTCTTTCTTAACGTGTTTCATGGCGAAACACTTATAATCCAAGTTAACCCTTTATAATCCAATTTTATTTCCATATAAAGGAAAAAATCTAATACGTAAAATTTGTAAATATCGACCTTCTGATGTTAATTATTCGTTCGTAAATTTATGATTTGATTACAAAGGTTCCTCGATTACAGAGAAGTGGTACGATAATAAGGTGCTACGTTCAGTTTTGCCGGAAAGATGTAATATGAAATTTAAAAATATTAATATACTGTACAGTTTAAAGTCACATAGGGTTGTAGAGAGTTAACAATTATTGGCGGGGGACCATTGACAACGAGTCATTTTATATTATAAATGACCGTGAGTCATTTTATAGCGCGCAGTTCTGGGAATGTTGCCCAGCGCGAATTCCCCCCCTTTTCGGTCCTCCTCTTTTTGGATGAATTTTTCATTTCGCTCAAGGCTTTCCTGCTGACTTGAAGTACATGCTGCACCGTCTTGCGTCTCGTTGACACCGAGAAAATGTAGCCCGGTGTTTATAAAAATTCCGGGAGACGAGGTGGAGCCTCGCGCCAAATGCTCGGCCAAAGTGACCGGGTTTGCTTTGACAGTCAAATCGTCCTTTATAATCGTGTCCAGATTTCGCCCGAGGGGAGAAATAAAATTTGCCGGGGGATGAAAGAGGCGAGTTGGGGGATTAAATTAAAATAAATGTTCTGGGGGGTTCCGCGCGCCCCGCCCGTCAGAGGAGAGTGTCTCGGGTTTAATACTTCAATTTCCAGCGCAAAGGGAAAAACTAAATCTCTCGGGCAAACGGCTAGATTTAGAGAATCACGTCCGACATTCCTATTAATGCGACAGCCGGTATTTGCATAGGGGAGTGGGTTAACCTTTCCCGGCATCCCTCTCCGTACACCGAACGCGAATTGCGTATGCCATATTCTGGCAAAAACATTGGCCCAGTCCTGACCAGGGCTCCAAAATTTTCTTTCACCACTTAATCCCCTAATCTCCGTTTACCCTATCAGAGTGCCAAGGACAGTACCCACTAATAGAAGAGTATATCACTCTACGATACAATTCTCCACTTAATCGACTCTATCAAAATAAACAGGTTCACTGCAGTAGAGTAAACTACTAATCTGGAGAACCGTGTACCAAGCTAAATTACCGGTTTCGGGCAGACGGCTTTCTCCAAAATTGCTAGCGTAGAGTAATTCGGGAAAAAAAGTATATCTTTACACCTGTACTCGGGTATAAATCCGGAGATAAATCCACGCTGCAAGGAGTCCAGTCGACACCCAGCATCCCTTGTCTGCGGAGGTAGATATTTCGCGGCGTCGTTCCCCACTTGGGTGATCCGAAACAAATTAAAACCTTATTATACATGTCCGTTCACTCGAGGGGACTCGTCCCAATAAAGTCTGCTCCCTTTTCGTCCGCGTCTCCCTCATCTCGCTCCGACCCTCCCGGGGCGGCGGGGCGCGCATGCGCCGAGCCGCCCACGGGCGAGCGCGCGTAGCTCGCGCTAGCCAGACGCGGTCCGGCGCGAGGCTGCGAGTCCGCGGGAACGAGCGCGAAGTCAGTCGCACTCCCGACACGGCGCCGTGCGCGATGAACGCCGCCCGCCAGGCCCCGCGAGACCGCGCTCGGCCGGAGGAGCGAAGTTAGCCGAGTCGCCGCGACCGAGTCCCGAAGTCCCTCCGCGCGGGGGCGGCGGACCACTTCGTCGCTCGCCGCCGCTCTCGCTGGTCGACGGAGCGAAAGGCAGCGTGGAAGAAAGGTGGTGACCATTGTCAAAGGACGAGACAGCTAGACCTCTAAAAGTGCCGGCCACGGTTAGCCTCGGAGGTAGATCTCCAATCCGAGGATAAAGATCCATACGGGTGATTGATTACCGATTGGATGATCGAGGAGAGGTTCGATACCCGGACCTGTACTAGGAACCATCGGAAGTACCATTGAGACGTGCAAGTTCGGTTTTCTCGATCCTCATCCTGGGGAGTTTGGATATCCAGTGTAATTCGTATTGCGTTCGGAGTACGTCGAGATGGTCGGAAGGAAGGATTCAAGGGAGGAGCGGTGCGGCGTGGTCCGCGGATTTGATTTCTCGATCTTCCGGAGGATCGAGCGCTTCTAGGTCCGTCTGGTCGGGTTCTTGGATACTCTTTCCCTAGGAATGGTCCTTGGCTCCGGTGCTGGCGTTTAATTAACGGCCTAATGGAACTCGGCCCCGGGGTGCTCAGGGGTTCCGAGGCGCCCCGAAGTTCGGCCCCTAATTAGTGATTAGCCGCGGATGGATTTTAATTATCGTCCCGTGGTGGTGGAACTTGGAAAGGATGGACGCTGGTGAGCGTCTTCGGCGCGGTCTTGGACGATGTAGGAGCGAGTCATGTGGCCCGATGACCTGCCCCGGTATGGCGAGGGGAACCGTCCGACCGGGTGCGGAGTGCTGAATGGAGGTGGAGGGAAGCCGAATCGAGTACAGGACCGAACCGCAAGAGGGACCTTCGAGCATCGGCGCGGCAACCGGAGCTCGACAAAGGGAGGAACCGAGGATTCGGGAACGGGAAACGGAACGCGAAACGAAACAACCAGTGCCGGATGGGACGAGCAGCGAAACGCTGGATGGGGCTCTGAACGGAGTGCGGAGTGGAATACGAAACGAGGAGAAGAGCGGGACTGAGGGGGTGCTTAATTGAAGAAACAAGAAGCGGACCGGGGAAAAAGTACCCGCGACGTGGCGGGGGACCGGAAACGGAACGGAAAGCGGAACTCCGAGCGGAATACCGAACGGATGTTACGCACGAAGGCGCACGGCAAAGCTGATGAGATGACAGTGATCTGCGTCCTCTGGGCCGCTCTGTCCACCGTGGCATCGATCTTGGCGTGCTCCGGATTCTATCTGCCCTACTGGATTCAGGTGAGGACTCTGCACCTTCCCGGGTACTCGACGCTTAGTAAGACCGACGAATGGCCGATCAACTGCGTTGCGTTGCGTTAACGACTCCATTGTTTACCTGGGGACCCGAATTCTGATTTTTCCCACGGGAATGGGGATAGCAACTCCACCATCGTCAAAGCAGACCCATTATCCTGAGCATCGGCGAACTCGTGATTCACCACCGCTTGTCCTACCTCACGGCCATCGACGGTTTTCATCATCTAAACATGTCCCTGTGTCCATCACTCCAAGTTTCCATGACCATGCTCGGCTTTCATCGTTAACCGATCTGTTATGAGGATGTAACAGTCTCTACAAATGTAGCATTCTACCAGAGCAGCAAATTCGCGGTTTATCGATAACCTCGGAAAAGACACTTATTAATGAGGACGGTATCGTAGGATGATAAACCGTAGGAAACATTCCCATGATCGCTGAATTTGTAAGAAAGGAGTCCAGCATCCGAAAGCGACATCGTCGTCGCAACCCATGAGGATATAACTGGAAAAAACGTTCCGTCAAAGCCACTGCGCGTTTCGCGATTTGTCGATGACCTCAGAATAGGTACTAATTAACGGGGACGATGCCGTAGGATGGTAAACCGTAGGAAACATTCCCATGATCGCTGAATTTGTAAGAAAGGAGTCCAGCATCCGAAAGCGACATCGTGGTCGCAACCCATGAGGATATAACTAGAAAAAACGTTCCGTCAAAGCCGCTGCGCGTTTCGCGATTTGTCGATAACCTCGGAATAGGTACTAATTAACGGTGACGATGTCGTAGGAAGCATTCGCATGATCGCTGAATTTGTAAGAAAGGGATTCAGCATCCGAAAGCGGCATTGTCGTCGCAAACCATGAGGATATAACTGTAAAAAATGTTCTGTCAAAGCCGCTACGCGTTTCGCGATTTGTCGATGATCATGGAATAGGTACTAATTAACGGTGACGATGCCGTAGGAAGCATTCGCATGATCGCTGAATTTGTAAGAAAGGGATCCAACATCCGAAAGCGGCATTGTCGTCGTAATCCATGAGGATATAATTGGAAAAAATGTTCTGTCAAAGCCGCTGCGCGTTTCGCGGTTTGTCGATAACCTCGGAATAGGTATTAATTAACGGTGACGATGCCGTAGGAAGCATTCGCATGATCGCTGAATTTGTAACAAAGGGGTCCAACATCCGAAAACGACGTCGCCGTCGCGACGGACGTTGGCGATTGGCCATTGCCTCGTCAGTTGCAAGGCTATTGCCCCGTTATTGGCGCGGAAGGAAATCAAAAGCTCGATAACTTCCGAACGACGATATCGGCGACGCCGAATATTGCACCCGTTATGGATATCGCACCTCGGCGACGCTGCACTGTGATGCAACGATTTCTTCCCTGGGACGGGATGCCCCGGGAAGAGTGCACTCTGGAGGACTAGAAAATGGCCAAAGTCCCGAATCCGAGAAACAGAGTCGCAAGAATCGGATACTGGCTCTCTTGGAGTAGACCCTCGTGGTTAGGAGGTATCCTCAGGATCCGGATGACCATGACTTGGCCCGAGTTCAATATGTCTTCTTTCTCTAAATGCAGAATTATTTAAGCGTTTCGTGAATTACTCGAAGACTCGAAATTCATCTCGGAACGCAGACCTGACGCTGACTCTCATCTGGGGAGAAGTTAATGGTTAAAAATAGTTCCCAGGGTTAGTTTTAGAATCCTACGCTTTCTTCGACTTCGAGTCCACGGCAGACACAGATTTGGATGTTGGATGCACCGATGCAGGGAGCGACTTATTTTCGAGCGGTAAAAAAGGGACGGGCGACCACGTGGGGGATATACGGTTTCTTGGGAGGACCATTTTATTCCGTGGATTTCTGAAATAGATACCGCCGCCGCGGCCGATAGGAGAAGACGGAAAGACGGGACGAACGAATCGTGTCGTTCCTTCCTCTCGTTTCTCCGGGACCCGGGATTTATCATCCCCCGAATATCATCTCCACCCCCGGATTATTTAAATTCGAGTGAAAGCTTAGGAAAGTAGCGCATACCGTGGGTCTCGTCGCGGTGCAGCAGGTCGCAGTGCGGCGAGTGCACTCTCCGGAGAGAACGAGCGGTGTTAACGTTGCATGTGTTTTGGGAAACTTCGGCCAAGATGCTTTGCAAACTTTAAACCGAGTTTTCGCTTTATCTCGCCGGTGATTCTACAGTGGACCGCTCCATTATACGCGTTTAATAAGACAGCAATCCGGTTCGAGGAGTCTCTCTGCCGGAGTTATGATATCAATAATTAATATTAACGCTGCGCCTGGGAACTTTGGTCCGAGTTCTCACTTCGCGCCCTGCGAGCATCGCCGCGCAGTATACCACCGGCAATATCGCCCTAACAATGATTCCTTGCAAGCGGGTGCATCGCTAAGCCGTTAGTGTGCACTTTATAGACCCCGGGAAAGGAGATACCGCAATAACATCCGCTTGATAACACCCACTCTTGCATTCAAATGTGCCCGCGAGCTCCGGCAGAGTGCAGCTTAATGCCAAATTGAGAAGAACAACGCTGCTCTGTGGACGCCCACGTGAAATAGGGCATTTATTTAAGAGCGCCGCTAAAAGATGCGTCTCGGCGGGGTCGAGAGAGAGAGGATATTAAACTTGCAAAAGTCGGAGGGCCCTCGTCGAAGGGGAGATGCCAAAGCGATAAATCATAACGTGCCCGTAAGGAGATTGATATTAATGGTGGTTTCGATTCGCCGAATAACGCGCATTCTCAAGTGTCACGGCTTGGAGTTGAGATTTTCTTCTTTTCTATTTTCTTGTTTTTCCTTTTTCTATTATGCGCCGGCCGCCATTGCGCGAATTTCTCGTCCTCTTTCATAGTCGACCTCTGGGCGCAATTCAATTTCGCTGCCGTATGAAGGAGTAAAAACAATTTTGAAAACTCGAAAATCCCGACGAGCCCGGTCGGATGGATAAATAAAAAGGGGACCATTTTCGGAATATAAGTCTTTTAACAGCGGTTTGGCCGACCATTACTTTCGGTTTAAACGTCACCCGCGAAGATATAATTATTGCTCGACAGCCCTCGGGGCTTCCTTTTTTTTTTCCGGCCGAACCGAATGAATTATTTCAATTACGCGGTTTTAAATCCGAATCCTCTCGGCTCCGGGATACGTCGCGGAATATTTAAAAGTTCACTCGGCGCGGGGCAAACTCGGTGAATGTTTCATGACGCGGTCAACGAAGCGTATTTAGAGCTTTAAAAAATCATCCACGGGCGAGGCGGTCAAATTTCGGACCCGGTAAACCGGCGTGAAGTGGCCATTGATTAGATAATTGTACGTACATATACATATACAGGTACGTACGCGTATTGTATTATCGATTCGCCGGCGCATTAACGTCTCGGCAGGTACACCGCGCATGTGTGCGCACATCGCGGCATGACAATTGCAGGAATTATCATCAGAATTGGCGATGTTATCGCGCAAAACTCGATCCGGCAAGGTATCCGCTCCGCTTAATGATCAGCCATTGACGGCCCGATAATCTCTAACAATTCCGGATCTGAATTCGCGTTAAGATAGAATTTTTATTTAAATGATAAGGGGGCGGACAGAGGGGGGGAGATCGGAAGAGAGGGATGCTGGGAGGAGGAGGGGATCCAGCGCGAAAGTCAGCAGAGCTTCGTAGGAACCTCTTTCTGACGGATGCGTCACGTCCACCGAAATAGCAGAGACGTCATCGACGTCGAGTCAGACTGGCTCTCGGAGTGTAACCAGAAAACCAAAGGAAAGCCGCAAAGTCAGGCGGAATTTGACCGGCAAACTTCAAAGTAACTCCACCCCAGACGGAGATATTAAATCCGCGCCGCGTTGGATTTTGAATAAACCGATGATCGCCCTTTCATCGTGGTGTCGATTCCTTTTTCATCTTCCCTCCGACACGCGATTCGTAAAAGAGGGCGTTTGAGTCGACAAAGTAAGACGGACGAATTTGATTTCCCACCGAGGGGCGGGAGATGCATCTCGAGGCTTGCATTTCCCGACGCGGCGGTGAAAGACCGCCACGCTCATTTCATCAGCAAACAAGAGAGCGCATTGTTTCGCAGGGTTGACAAAGGAAAAGAAATGTCTTATCTGGGCCGAGAGGGTGTCTTGGGTACACCGTGCGTTTCCATGTTCCCCCGAAGCCACGAGGCATTGTCCTTCCTCCTCTCAGATCAGATCTGGACCGCCGAATGGCGGAAGGAAGTCGTTTTCCTTTTGCTCGCCCTGGGACAACAATGCGGGAGGAGGGAAAAGTCTTACGCGTTGCTTGAAAAATCTGCAGGAAAATACGGCACCAAAGGGACCAACCGAGCAGCAAAGTGTTCCCCCTAAAACCGCCGGCCGTATTCGCGGGTCGAATCTCTGCCTCGTAGAGGAGTGATTTTTCTCCCGATATCTTCCCAATTACCGAGGAACTCGAGCTGGTGGACGCCGATGCAACGCGTCCGTTTGAACGCCTCGATATTGCATCCAGGTCTGTCGTCTGGGGAAATCTCTCGTCAGGAGCGGCAATAACGATAACTCTTCCCGGGCGTGGGAACGAGACCGGAAACGAGCAATTCTCGGCAATTTTCGACCGCGAATTCCGGGAGGAGCGTCTTCGCCTTCGCAATTACAACGCCCCCGCGATCGACTCGCCGAAAGGTAGATCGTGATGTAGAGAATTAGGCGAGAGAGATCCTGGAGGGTCCTGGCTCCTGGAGGAGTCCGACGAGAGTCCTGCAAGGGATGGAACAAGGCTTCGACGAGAAGTTACGGTCTCGGTCGTTCTTCTTGCAGGTTCCCGATGCATCGATGCACCGGGGCACGGTTATTTCTGGAAATTGGCCCATTGCGCGGAAACTGGAACAAGTCGCCCATTATTGAGAGCCTGGCAGGCTCGGAGGATGGAGATTTCTTGGAAATCGGAATATTGCACGAACACAGGGACTGAAAATCCGACCCAGTCCCTCAGCTGGTCGCTCCTTCGAGATGCCTGCAGATTTGATCACAACTCTGTGCCGGATTTCTTAAGAAATTTAAATCAGCGGCCCCCCAGGAACCGGACCAACCGTTGCGGTCGTGAAAAACCAAGTTCCGAATCGGGCTGGAAATTTTCCTTCCCTACCTTGAGGTCGAACTTCCGGACGGATCGCCGAAAGGGCTTCTCTCGGAAGTTTCGCAAGGTTCAGGAGATCTGTCGGCTCTTTAATATCGTTAAAATAACCCGGCAGAGGCAGGATTCGCCGCTCGGAAGAACCAAGCTTTACCTGGACTGCGGAAAGAAACATCCGAGGGAAGAAAAGCGCGGAATGGGGGGGAAGTAAAAAAATCCGCGGAGGAATAATCCGCGGAAATAAAAGCGCGCGCGAGGAGAGGCTGGATGAGGAATCTTAACATTACTCGAAGGTGCGCCGGCAATTTTAATTTCTCAGATGTTCGACCGCGCTTTCGATTTGATATCTCATCGCGAACTCTGGGCTCCGTCTCTGGATACGAGAAGCGCGTGGGTCCTTTTGGAAAATCCTGATAAATTTTCTAAAAATCTCTAAAAATCCTTATAAACCCCCCCAAAAAAATCTTACGACTTGCGGATACTTTCCACAATTATTCTCCCAGCCCTCCTGTATTTCGTGGAAAGTTCAGCGGAAATTCGTCGCGACTTCCTCGAAGGCCGCGACGTGAACGAGCAAAAGTAATCACCGGATCAACATACGAATGGCATCCTTATTCCGGGACGCTAAGAGCCCTCTCGTATAAGGCGTCCTGGAATCAACGCGCTTTCCGAAGGAGCGCGAGGCACCGTCGAAAATGCCCAAGCACCTAGATGAATAAATGCATAAGCGAATTTCCATTCGCTTTTACGCCACGCCGGAGATCCCGCCTCGTGTCTCGAGGATACCTCCATTCCGCGGCTAGGCGCCCGCCTGCGGAATCGAGGCAAGACGTTCGCTGCTCCGCGGAGACCTGCCAATTTCCTCGGGAACCGACGGAATATACAACAATGAGATTGCCGGGAATTAACCTGCCGTGAAGGCGCGTTCGGAAATTATTTCCCACCCTTATTTTTTGCTTCCAGGGGAGACTGCTTGGGAAAGCTGACGCGTACTTCGGCTCCTTCAGGCGTTGCAACTATCCGAGGATTCGGGCACCCAATGCTACCCTGGAAATCGTCTACGAGTGCGCCAGGTATTCCAGGTACGCCTCTTTTATGAAAATCTTCTCCTGTGCTCGTGGCTAAAAATCGGTGCCAGGCCGTCAAGCTCAGAAAATAAATCCGATTTAAAGAGAATTATTAAATCTCAATAATTACTATTGACTCTACCGGATTTTTATACACGGTCGACACTGACTTGAGCATACCTCCCATCTCTATTGTTTATACTTCAGAATAAATGTCATTAATTAACTGGGAGAATGCGTTTACGTACATTTCGTTTTTACTGTAATGTAAAGAATATGCATAGTAATTAGATCGGGTAAAAAGGCAGCGCGTCAGGGTTTGAAGTAGGCTTCCGTCATAATTTATACGTATCGTGCCGTAAGAAGTTACACTTAGAAAGTATCGATCTCGTGTCGAGCATGTCCAAAAGTATCGGAGAAGAGGGGCGCGTATTAATTACCGCCGCGGAATAACGCGCCAAATCTTGGATGCCCTTCTGGAACGGCGGCGGGAATCGCATTCGCGGAAACGTAACTTGGGCCCGGCTTGTTATGCAAAGGAGGGTGGGATTTTTCTTTGGAAAAGTGCCCTTAATCATTGCGGCCCTCAACACGCGGGATGCCCGTACCTCCGCGTAACTTTCCCCCGCGGTCGGCCGAGAATGGATCCCCGCTGAATTCTGTAACCTCGGCGCGATGCCGAGTTGGCCAACTTTTTCGCGGGTCGTTCGAGTTTTATAAATCCCCCACGCCAAGAGCCCTGTTATTCATTTCCGAGGAGTTCCCGGGTAATCGCCGGCCCGTACACTTCCCCGACAATTACACACCCCGCAACAGGAGTACCTCGGCCGACCAAGGGAGTCGGTAAAGTTCCCCATTCCCGAAAGCACTCGCGACCTACCTTTACATTTCGCCTCCTCGGACCCGAAGCTAAGTGACCGATCCCACGGTAATCGCAGCAGCAGTTAACTCCTTCGAGGAGCCAACTTGGCGTCAACATTGATCCGGAAGTGCCGGAAGATAAACCTCATAAAACTTTGCCCGGCCCGCGTCGCGATGCACGCCGTTTACTCCAATTACCCTCGGCAAATGGCTCCGTCGGACGGAAAGATCCACCTTTCGCCGGCGTTGTTTTTCCTTCATTTTTTTTTTATCTACGCGACCTGGCCGATTCGTGGAGGCGACATCTTTGCCGACTCGTTTATTTCAGTTTCTTTCGAATCCGCGCCAATATTGATTCGGAATCTCTCAAGGCGAAACGGTGCAGTCGTTTAGCCAAAGGTGCTCGTCGTTTGCTCCAATTAGGCGTGCTACCTGGTTATACCTTGAGAGGAACCCTCATCTCCTGCACCGTTCGCGTAGTTAAATCACTCGGATAGGAATTCCCTCACAATATTTGCCCGGATGTGTATCAAGATCAACTCCGTAAAACATTGCCAGGTTCTGGGGGGCGTCTCGCGGGCCCGAGTGCGCTCCATAAAAGATTCTTTCACATGCGACGTGACTTATTCCGGTACGTTCGCCGGTGCTCGTCCGAGCATTTACGTTACGTGCAAACATCCACGGCGAAATTTATCCGCGAGCCCGCGTCTCGACACCGGAGGTGCATTTTGCAAAAGGATTTGTCGCGTTGGTCGCACACGTAGGACATATCTGCTTAGTACACGCGTCGCGAGTTAAATCCTCGGTTGAATTTATTCCCGACCTCTGAACCCGGCAAAACCTGTTGGAAGATTGCTGATACCTCGTCAGAGGCACGTTTAGTGCCTTTACCTACACCCCCGCCGATGAAGGAATATAATAAACCCTCCATTTCCACCCAGGGGATTAGTTTCATTTCACCTTTTTGCCGCCAAACGTTCCACATAATGTATTCCAGTAATACGGTTTATTCCTTTTAGGTGGTTAAATCCGATCCTCGCGTTTCACGTTTCGGAACCGAGGGAGCTTCTTTGAGGAGCACTCGAATGGAAATTGAAAATTCATTCGGTGACCCTACCCGGGGGTGGAGGAACGTCATCTCGGGCCGTCTTTTTTACATCCAGATGCCGGGCCTCTCGGCGCGCAAAAACCGAGGTTCCAGTCGAATGGACTTTCGCGAATTCATAACCCTTCCCCTCGATTGGGTAATAAAATATATGAATCCTTCGCGTTTCGATTCCTCCTTTTATGCGCCTATCTAAAATCTGGGATATTCGAGGAATCATCTGTGCCGCGCAAGATGGAGGGAATCCTTATTCCACAGAATTCACCCGCGAGTGCCGGCTTATCGCGTCGCTCGATATTTGCATTTTGCGATAGAGCAAATTCAATGTGCCGGGGATATATGCGACGCAACGTGGAGCGGTAATAAATTTAAATTCATCCCCTTGTAAAAGAAATACCCCAAGGATTAGCTTGAAACTGCACCTAACTGCACCCACTCTGTACGTACTTGCACCCGAAAGCCAGAGGGTCCAATGTCGATTATCTCGGTGCTTGTCGCGACAATTTGTCGCGACAATGGAGTCGTTTGTTCGACCCGTGAAACAAGGAGGTACGGTTTAACGCGTGCGATCGTTTACGTTACGTCGACGTACGTTATCCGGACAAGAGTGATTTCTCAGATATCGCCAGCCACGGTCCATCACGCGATGATGATTTAAGCAACATCCGGGCGATATTTCATATCAAAGTCAATCATTAATCATACACTGGTCTTTGATATTTCATCTGGAGAAATATCGAAGGTCCGTCGTTCTTCGATATTTCATCCCGAAATATCAAAACGGTCTTCGAGCGCACATATTTTATAGTAGATCGATGAGAATTTTCTGTCAATAGTGATCCGTGTGATAAGGTCGTACCCTTTCGCCCGATATTTCATATGAAAATATCAGATTCCCCTCGATTTCGATTTTTCATCCAGAAATACCGAAGCGGTCTTTGAGTGCACTTATTTTATAGTATCCTGATGAGAATTGTTTGCCGATAACAATTCGAGTGATAACGTCGTAGACGGTCGCTCAATATTTCATCTGAAAATATGAAAGAACAGTGGTGTTCGATATCTCTGGATGAAATATCGAGGATTAGTCGTTTGTCGATATTTCACCAGAGATATAAAAAATCCATCGATCTTCAAGCGCACATATTTTATAGGAGCTCGACGAGAATTTTTTTGCCGATAGCGATCCTGATGATAAGGTCGTACGCATTCGCTCAATATTTCATCTGAAAATATGAAAGATATTTCTGGATGAAATATCGAGGATTCATCGTTTTGTCGATATTTCATTCAGAGATATAAAAAATCCACCGGTCTTCGAGCGCACGTATGTTAGAGGAGGTCGGCGAGAATTTTTTTTGTCAATTGCGATCCTGGTGATAAGGTCGTATACGTCCGCTCAATATTTCATCTGAAAATATGAAAGAACAGTGGTGTTCGATATTTCTGGATGAAATATCGAGGATTAATCGTTTGTCGATATTTCACCAGAGATATAAAAAATCCACCGATCTTCAAGCGTACATATTTTATAGGAGGTCGATGAGAATTTTTTTGTCGATAGCGATCCTAGTGATAAGGTCGTTCGCGTTCGCCCTTCCAGTTTCTGGGACATCCCGAGCCCTTGGTGGCAAGCCAGCACGGTGAGCATGGGCATCGGGGTGGCGATAGCAGTAATTGGAGCACTCACTCTTCTGGCCGCAGCCTCGGCCTTCCTGCCGCACGTTTTAAGGACCCCGAAGAACACGCGTGTCCTCGGATCTCTGCAGCTTCTCGCTGGTGAGTGTCGTTATATCGCTGCAACACTCCGGCACGCTAACGAGGAGCCGAGGGGCCGCCGGTGCCTTCGGGCGACTCCAAGTAGACCTTGAAGAGTATTAAGGAATCACGAGCCCCTGGGATTATTCTTGAAGCGGAGCCGAGGAACGGGTCTGCTCTGGATGGTGCTGCACCGTCCGACGAGCCCCGTCTGGAACTTCAATCCGACAAACAATTCGCGAGGGTAGTAAACATTCTCTCTGAAACTGCACCTGAAGAGACCTCCCCCTAGAACCCGGGTGGGCTTATATTCTATTTAATGATCGCGTCTTTCAAGGGAGAGAAAATTAGTTTCAAGTAATCCCTGGCTCCGTAGCTCGAGAGGGCGCCCGCGTTCGATGCTCGATGGCGTCCCCGGGTAGCGCTTTTCTCCTGGCTAGGAGGAGAGGCGATCTAGAGCTATTTAGAATTCTTGATAAACCGCGTCCACTTGGCCTGTGAAATTGAAAATACGAGAATGTTTCGTTACAGCAGCGATGATATGCGGCGGCTTGGTGATGTACCCCATCGGCTGGGACAACCGAGAAGTGCGAGAGTCCTGTGGCAAGGGAGCCAGCGCCTACAACCTGGGTGAGTGTCCGATCAATTCCTTCCAAACCTCGGCCCTTTTCCGGGGTTGAACGAGTCCACCCAAAGGGAGCCCTCCGGCGGAAAGGTCCCTCCTTGCAAGTCGGGACGGCTCCAATTAGCGTAATTGTGCCCTGGGAATCCGTGGAAAATAATTAAAGGGTCTAAAGGGGCGTCCGGGTGGCGGTCCGGAAGTGAGCAACATCGGCATCGTCGGTTTGATGGGTTTCGTTTCCCCCGCGTAGCGTTAATCGAGCCGGTGAAGTTCCCGGACGATGAAGGCTGGGCCGGATCCGAACATCGACGAGGAAAGGGTTAAGCAGGCCGACCTGTATCCAAGTTTCCTAGGTTAGCTATTAAGCGTTTCGGTTTGACGTCCGGAGACCTGCATCCTGGTTCCCCAAGTTCGGGGAACCGTCGGGTGGCTCGAGGTCTGAATTTTCTCCAAGGAGTCGGCGCCTTTAAGCTGGATCCTCCAAAGGAAGCTTGCCCCAAAGGGTAGGAGATGGACTACCGCGTCGTGCTCCGCTACCGTGTGTGCTCCACGCGTGTCAGGGTGGGAACCCCCGCGGAGTTTGCCGGCGCACCACGGACCATTGAAATCCATCCGGATGAAAGGTTCTCGAGAGTGTTTTTAGATCCCACGGTTGAAAGTCGAAGCCCACTCCCCCTCTCTCCTGGCCTCCTCTTTGCCGGTGAAATTCGACAATGGCCACTGACGGCTGCACGAGGAAAACGGCCACTCGGGTCTTGGAAGTAACCCCCATTCCGGGGATTCTTGTTTCAGGGAAATGCTCCCGTCGTGGAGGAGCTGCCTGCTGGCCGGCTCAGGTGCTAAAGGTTTCCGATATCGCCCAGTTCGAACTGGCTTGATAAAATCGAGCTGTCTCAATAACTTTAGCCAAGTGCCGGAAGGAACCGCGAGAGCGTTGCTTCCTTTTTCCACGTCAAGAAACCACTTGACGATCTTTAATCGCGCCGGAAGAGGTTAGACCTCGGTTATCGGTTTGGTGGAAGACTCCTAGGACGTATCGGCGAAACCCCGCGCGATAAACGACTGGACCCTGGGAGGAGAGACTAATCTCGCCTTCCAGGAGATGTTCTCATCCCGACCATTTGTTTCAGGAAAGTGCTCCCTGTCGTGGGCCAGCTATCTCCTGGTGGGCTCCGTGGCCCTCCTGATGCTCTGCTTCGGGCTCAGCTTCTGCGCCGCCCGACACAAGCCGCCTCATCCGCACTCGGACCCTCTGCGCATTTGACAATCGAGATACTCCCAATCGATACACGCCTACGCGTCGCCAAAGACCACGACTTTGTCCTTCGTCACCGTGTGTTGATCCTTCCGTGCCTCCACGCATCGATCGCTGGTCCCCGTGCGGCGCCTGAAGTTGGCGGCTCCTCGAGCGACCCTCAGGGTCCTCCAGCCGGACGAGCTGGGAAGACGCATTTGCCGACTATGGGTGGTCAATTATCGCTTTAGCTTCATTCCTCGAGAAACCTGCGCTACGAGCTTCGGAAGGACGGCCAGACCGACCGTCACGAGCCGGACGTGACGTGCCTTATCAACAAGGTCCACCGACGAAGACACGTCCGGGAGCTTGGTCCGATGCTCCGCTTCGTAACCCGAATGCAGATTGGATCTCCACCGAGGAGGCCCTCGTTCGCGGTCGTTGCCGATCATCCGATCGTCGCGAAAGTCCGCAATCACCGCGCGAATCGATTATCGTCGCACGAAATGTTAGTCACCGCAAGGTAACCGTCGTGCATTGGTTATCATCGCGCGGGTCGATAATCGTTGCGCGAATCGGTAATTGTCGCACGAATCGATAATCTTTGCGCGAGTTGATTATCGTCGCACGAATTGTTAATCACATTGGTTATCATCACACCCATCGATAATCTTCGCGCGAATTGATCATTTTCACCCGAATCGGTAATCACCGCAACAATCGGTGACCATCGCGCGTCGGTTATCATCGCGCGGGTCGATAATCGTTGCGCGAATCGAAAATCGTAACGCGAATCGATAATTGTCGCGCGAATCGATAATTACCGCTTACACGCGTTCTCGTTCGGCGCGCGGAGTCCGCGCACCGTGCAAGCTGCGTGGTCGAATTGGGAGCCTCGATCGATTACTTCCGACGTGCCTTCCGCCTCCACGTGTACATGTGTACTTCCGGGGTGTTTCCCTTGGCAGAGGGGCCCTGACAGCCGTGAAAATCTCCCCGGGTACCGAATTACCGAGCCCCGGTTTCGTTTTATTTCCCCGCGAGTGGCGCCAGTCCGCTCTGGAAAAGAGACCGCGGACCGGTCGCCGAATGTTTCCTGAATATTCACCGAATGCCCGGCGAATTCTCTCGCCCGCTGTCCGCGCATCGCCCTCGCGGGATGCAACTGCGGGATTGTTCATGAATAGTAATGGCTCGCACTCGCTGGGCACTTTGGTTGGCCGACTAATAATTACGCGTCTTAGTTACGGGGCCGCGGGTGTCCTGTAAATCGGCCGCCGTCCGGCTCCGTCCTACATAAACAATTCCGCACCCGCGGCAGGATTGTGTGCATTCCCGTTTTCCTTCCGGCAAGAACCAACAGCCACCGTGCACACGGTTTTCACTTTCGCAGTGTTGTTTGCGCACGTCCGGGTCTATTAATCGGGGGATATTTCGCGAGAACTTGGTTTGCTTTGGGCCAAGAGGATTGCTTCTCCGGTCGTTGTAAATAGCTGGACGTTGCAGCTTGGACGGATTTTCCCCGGGAAATTTTCTGCCGGTTGGGTCCTGGAAAAATGTTCCGGTTAATTTTACACGCGCCTGAGAGATTTCTTGTTGTGGTTAACGAGAAAGTCCGATCGTGGTTGGAAATTTCTAATTACCGAAGCCAGAGGCGCGATTCTGAACGTCAATTCGATAACTGTCGGTATCTTTAGCTGATTGAAATAACACGACTACCTACGTCGATAACTACCGAATGTGGGGTACAGAATCCCGCTTTTGGTTGGATTATACATCGATATCTCAATCGGATCCCTGAACCACGAGATAAACTTCCAGGAGAACATTCTTGTTTTGGTATCCAGAAATTCCCCAAAAAGCATTAACGCGGCCAGGTAATATTTCACCGAGGACATCAAATCCTTTAACCAGAAAATTGCAAGGACACGTTTAACCCCTAATCCTGAAAAAAAGGGACACTTGGAATTCTGGCTCTTTTAAATGGACGTTTTCTTCAAGTGAAGAGGACCTTCTCCCTCGAGATACGCATCGGAGGGTAATTAATCCTGATTCCTGAAGATTTTGATTCCCGGACGTCCGTGCCCGATTTGCATCGAGATGGTCTTATGCAAAATTAGTCGAGCATCTTGGGAAGACTGCCCTGGGCGGAAGTGCCGATTAAATTACCCCGAAGGGATAATTGGCGTTTCGGTGCCAACGGCCGAGGAACTGTAAAATTCGGTGGACCGTGGATTTATGCGGTTTGTACAGGCAAACGTAGCAGCGGGGGGCGCAAATGGCGTACCGAAGAACACGATACATTAGCGGCAATGGCATTAACCCACGCGAATTGGATCGAGAGCGATCCGCGCTTTCGCAGAGATTCGCGGAGGCTGATTTCGGGGGGGGAAATTGAACCGGCCGCGTTCGGTTGGGGAATAACACCCCATATAACTTGAGCTCCCGTGGACGTTAGTAAGCCCTTTTCCATCCCATGAATTCAGGCTTCATGACCTCGGCAAGCAAGCGTGCGTATCGGTTTTAGTCGGCTTTCCAGGCGCGATAAAAGCGTAACTCGACACACCCAACACGTATGCCGCGTTAACCTCGAGAGTCGGTCCCAACCATGCTTGGAAAGGCGAAACCGACCAAGGCGTCTCATTTCCCATGGGTCCCCGTGGTCCGTATTTGTCTGTTGGAAATGATATCAATTGCATCCCCGCTGATGGAACTCCCTCTTAAATTCCTCCCCCTCGGCCGCACTTTTCAAAAGAGACCCACACCGCCCCCGTTGTCCCGGCCTCGCGAAATTCCCTTTGACAGGAGGGGAAACATACGCGAGCAGCGTGTCCCCTGTGGATTTAAATTTCTGTAGAATGGGAATTCCTGGGCGGGAAGTTCCTTTTTGCGAAGCGCGTATACCTTTCCTCGCTTCGGTCACCGGCAGGAGAAAGAGGAGAAGTCGGATGAATGTCAGACTTGGGGGATGCTTCGCCGGGCATTTTGTCCCTGCTTTTCTCGGATCTCGTTTTCCACGCGGATGAGGAAGGCACCGACGAATCCCGAATTATGGATAGCGTTAGGTTAGTCGTTCTTCGCCTATCGCGGGTCTGCGAAAGTGTTTCTTGTTTTAATAGACTATCGATGTTAGGGAACGACGTGCTCAGAGTATAGAGGCTGAGCGAGTGAGGATCGAACTTTGAAGTCGGATGGAGGGAGGATCGAGACTTTGGCGATGATCGATGATTTATCGCAAGATGGCCATCGGATCAAGGTGACGCGAGGGGAGGATTAGATCGGTCAGGGCGTTCGATGTATCGATATCGAGTCGAGGTTACAGATTTTTACGGTTTTCGGAGGACCCCCGTCCTCGGGGATTATCGAGGATCCTGAAGAGGTCCCGCAAAGTCTTTCATCGGACAGTTATTGCCGCGTGTCCAATGTCCTCGATCGGACAAAAGGGAGAGAAAGAGAAGAGATAGCTTTAAGTCGCGGCCGAAGGAGCGAAAAGGAAGGAAATGTTAACTAAATTGTTTACCGCGATTAACGGAAGTTACCGTCACGATGGCGGCGGTACCTTGAATGGGATTAATGCATGCAACGAGCGATTATTTTCGGTGGTTAAGGCGGTGTAAATAAACGTTCGCGTTGGCTTATCATTAGCTTATTTACTTAAAAAAGAAACGTATGCGATGTAAATGGACACATGCGCCGACTTAAGTATACAAACCGAGCCGGAGCCAACTAACGAATCTCCAATCGGAATCAGAATTGAGAAATGCGACGATTGAGAACATCGATAATACATCGATTAATACGTGAAAGTAATGGTAGGAGGGTAAAACTATTGGAAAAAGGGCATTTACGAGATTATCGGACTAACTAGCCCTGACTGCAGTGACAAATTCGGCGACGAAATGGAAAATGCACTGTAAAAGTGACCGGGAATTGTTCGCTTCTTTACACCATACTTATGAGAAATAATTCTTCTAATGGTACATTTTTTCAAGTACGGTACGTTATTCAAAGTGCATTTCTTTTATAATTACGTGCCGAAAATCTCTAGTCATTTTTACAGGGAATTTTTACACCGCAACCATGACTGACAATGCAAGTGCATCGCCAATTGACTTTCGACGTCGTCGCAGCGACGTTTCTTCGCGGAGAGTCTTGTACAGACCGAAAAGGTTTAGGACTGTCGCGAACAACGGTACATACTTGTATGTATATGTATATAATGTACCTACGCGGGTGCAAGAGCTCTTCGGTGCTACCTCGAATGCACTCGAGATGCACCTCGCGCGTACCTCGCATCCAGAGGCCACAATTGCGCAAGAACAAACTGTATATATCTGGTACGATATAAATGTTGCGTATTAATATATTTTATAATAAAAAGGAGTAAATTCTACGTTAATCGGTATTCCGATCATTGCTGTAAACATATATATAACTTCTCTCCTTTCCTCCCTATTCGTCGTTATTCCAGAAAAAATGGAAAACCTCCCACACCGACTCTCCGTGCCGATAGTTCATCGAACCAAGGTAATTACCTTTTTATTTCTCTACATTTCTTTAACGCGTTGAGCGTATTTCGTCTTGTCGAGGGTCTTAAGTGAGGATTAATTAATTAGGAGTTAATAATTTTCTTCCTCGGGGCGTATCGGCGTTATTATCGGCTCATCTATTGCCGGCTGGGACTCTATCGGGGATATATCATGTCGTGATTATGCACCCGATATACATGCAGAGCCAACATGCCGTGTATCCAAGGTGTGCCCGGCGTTTTCAGGGACCTCGAGGCGCCCCATTCGGGAGTTATGGCGTCGTATAATACTCGAGAGTAGCGGCCGTCTGCTTAATTCCCGAAAGCGTTCAGGACCGTCCGAATCTCGGACATCGGGTAATATGGGAAGTGGTCGGAACTTTTAGGCAGACACCGAGATCCGCGATTTTCCACCTTGCTAAGAAATCAAGGTCTTTTGGCCGACGCCTTGTTAAACCAGCTATCGGCATTCAACATGGCGGCGTGTGTTGGAAATAGGTTGCGGATCATGAATTCAGCGGTACAAAAGGCGACGGCGAATTCGCTCGTCCTTAATCGTACAAAGGGAAGTTCGATATTTTTCATATTGCTAAGAAATCAAGATTTGCTGCCGGCGCCTCTTTAAACCCGCTATCGGCGTCCAATATGGCGGCGTCTTGAGAACAGGTTGCGGATCATGAATTTAAGTGTCAAAAAAAGGTGATTGCAAATTCGTTCATCCTAAATCGCATCCAGGAAAGTTCAAGCCATTTTCCACATTGTTAAGAAATCAAGTTCCTCCACCGACTCCTCTTTAAACCAGCTATTGATGTCCAACATGGCGGCTTATCGGGGATAGGATGCAGATCATGAATTTCAAGGTCCAAAGAAGGCGACAGTAAATTCGTTGGTCCTTAATCGCTTGATATTTTCCACATTGTTAAGAAACCAAGTTCCTCCACCTACGCCTCTTTAAACCAGCTATCGATGTCCAACATGGCGGCTTATCGGGGATAGGATGCAGATCATGAATTTCAAGGTCCAAAGAAGGCGACAGTAAATTCGTTGGTCCTTAATCGCGCTCAAAGAAAATCGATATTTTCCACATTGTTAAGAAACCAAGTTCCTCCACTGACGCCTCTTTAAACCAGCTATCGGCATCCAACATGGCGGAGTATCGGAAACAGGTTGCGGCTCATGAATTCAGCGGTCCAAAAAAGGCGACGGCGAATTCGCTCGTCCTTAATCGCACCCAGGGAAGTTCGAGCCGACCAGGGCGGTGGATTTAAAATCCGCTGCTCGGCAATCGGTTTAACGGCATTCAAGAGTAATGTTTCGGAATCAGAATTAGGGAAGATTTAGTAGTCGGCCGATAAACATTCGATCGGCTCGAATGCCCGATAGACGGTTAAGTCGGGGCTCAGGTTGTTATTAGGCCTGACATTTAGTTACGAGCTACGTAGCCGTTCTCGTCGAACCAAAAGGCATTTGCCCTGCAACCGGAAACACCAACGTGGCGGCCATTTTGTGAGTACTTCGAGGCCTCTGAAAACACGGAGGACGACCCTCGAAATAAATAATTTCTCATTTATTAACGGCGGTCCCGGATCGGTACATGAATTTTCATTCCTTCGAATAAGCGGGACGAGCCCTTGAAGATCGGTCAGGTGCACCCGGTGTAGGTAACCGGAAAGTAAAGTATAAATTGCCGAGAAGAGAGTTCCCGTCTCTCGAGAACGTCCTATACGATCTCGAGGCGCGGTTCACGGTATGTTGTTAGAAACAAAAATTGTTCCTCTCCAACTCATTCTCGGATCCAATTCCCGGTGAGGTTACTACCGGGGCGATATGTCTCGAACGCGAAGGAAGAGTTGGGAAGGAGAACGATAACATCGTTACGCGGCTCCATCGTTCTCTCTTCCTCTTTGGAGGCAGCCTTTCAGCTCGCACTTTTACATCATTAAGGATAGACGGAAAGGACTTTAAGGACAACATTTCCCTCTGCCGGCGTACCGGTGGATCCGAGCAGAGGGTGGTCCATCGGTTTCCGCGGATTCAGCCACCCCGAATTCAGCTCGTCTTCCTCTAGAAGAGGACCAAACGGGAGCTCGCAGGAGCGAATAAAAACGAGTAGTTATACCCGTTCCAGGGCAGGTCCGCAGTGTTTTACGAGGCACCGTCGACCCCACCGGTGGCCCTGTGTGTCCTCTTTCGGCGAAGCCCCGATAAATTCCACTTAAAGGCCAATACAGCCGGAGTGGCGAAGCTCGGGTCGAAAGCAATGCAAAGTAGGATCCAAGTAAAGGCGGAATAAGACTGAGGAAGACGAAGCCGCGGTTCGCCGTTCGCGCCGGCTCGGAGGAACCAGGACGAGAGAGAACCAGCCAACCGGACCCTGAAGACCAGATCGGTTCCCAAATGGGATTCGCTTGTACCGGTTGTCCACTGTCGAGGAAAATCATGGGAGTCTTTAAAAAGAGGAACTCTAAAGCATCGGGAAACGAGACCAAAAGGTACAACGGACACGAGATCGGTTCCCAAGTGGAGTCGGCTGGGGCATTCGGCTACACTCTCGTCGGCATCCTATCGATGTGCCGTCCCATTTCTCGGGATACGGAGCCGAGTAAATTCCTGTTAAAAATCAACAGAGCTGCCGGAGGCAATGCAAAGCAGACCCAGGGGTGGAATAAGACCGCGTAAACCAGTCCACGAATGGAAGCCCGAAAAGGCGGCAAAAACCGAGGGGAGGGCGCCGCTAAGAAGATTGCGAGGCCAGATCTACGAGCGACGCTGCAATTGCACCTGAACACCCTGCGCGCTGCCAAGTGCACCCCAGACCAGGCTGGGACTTTAAAAACCGAACGTCGGGGAATCTGCATACGCTCGATATTAAGGCTCCCGGAATGCCGGCGCGGGGGTGGAGGGGCTGATCGACGACCGAGCTGGTCTCCGGGGGTGGTTTCCAGGGGTGGTCTCCAAGGGTGCCTCCCGAAAGCGCTTCTCGCTCCTGTTGGACGCTCGAGTTCACGACTCGAACGGTTTAGGGGCTTTGCTAGGAGTTTACGCTTCAATGGTGGAAAGTTTGGAGCCCCGACTAGAGAGAACGAAACGAGTCGGTGGAAGAACGAAGATGTACAGGTTTGGAGGCATTCCACCCCCCAACCGAAGGGGTCGTGTTTTCCGAGGTTGTTTTAAGGGGGTCAACAATAGACGCGCCATCGTACGAACATCTTCCCTCTAGTTACAGATTATACAGCGGTGGTTGATTCCGACCTGTAGAATTTATCAGGACAACTTGAGTCAATTTTTAGAATCTTCGGTGGGATCGCGGGGGAATTTATGATCTTGATTGTTCGTTGTTACCGCGTGTTCCCAAGCGGTCACCATCATAAGGGTGATCGCGCCCAACGTTGCTTGACTTCAGTGACCGGTGCTTTCAACGTAGGTTAAGCGTTAACCTTTCCAGGTGATGATCGAACAGTTCACTCGTTACTCTCGGCTGTTTTTTCCTGGGCCCGGTAATGACCATGTTTTTCTTCCACACCCGCTAGTCGTGGAAAGGCGCCAATTGGGGTCGGCGGAAACACGGGAAGTAGTGTTCCCGTAATAGCTCGCGCGGTGGCGCTCGAGTCGAGGGACTGGATGGAGAACAAAGGCCTCGAAACCATTTCTGAAACCATTAATTGGACCCTTTAGCGTTCGGCAAGCAGCCCCGCTCGGGGTCGTGACTTCTCTCTTCGGGCGCTCGATGCCGACTGGCAGGTTTTTCAAGATTAACGCGTTTTTCGACGGTTCACGACGGAATATACCAACAGGGACCGGTCGCGCGGACTTGGGAATTATTGCCACTATATCTAGAGGAATAGAATGACACGGTTCGGCGACATTCGACATCCAGCCGGCGTCAGCAGAGGACCCTATGCCACCCTCGGAAGCGGCCCGGACGACATCCGATATTCCCCGCTAATGAAATATTTTTTCGATCCACCGATGTCTCGCCACCAACAGCTCCAACCATCCACGAACGCCGAGGGCGGGCAGATATTTGGTAAACGTTCGTTTTTATCCACTCATTTAGGGAAACACGAATGCCGAAATGGAACTGTTGCGTGGACGCCATTGATACGCTCTCGCGTTGTTGCGATGAATTGTGCGTCATAGGTTTGCGTGCGTCATGCCGCATTTACAAAATTCAATAGACGGCGTACATGTGAGGTGAATTCGAGATACGGATTGTTATCAATTGTGTTTTGTAACGCGGTTATGGGCTCGGAGAGTGGCCGGAGAGAGTCGAACATGTAAATCCAAGATGGCGGCGCTGAACTTCCCGCCGAAGAGAAGCGTTGCAATCGCGGAACACGTTCGTAATTTGCTTTTACAGAGTCCAGGATCCAAGTATCGCGTTTCTGAAACGGTCAGAGGAAACTCGCAACACCAGGCAAAGGAAGTGACGAATTTCGCGTAAAGCCACGTTTACAAAATTGAATTTGCGGTGTGAACCTGTGGTAAATTCGAGGTGCAAATTGTTTTAAGTTATGTTTTGTAACACGGTTATGAACTCGAGACGTGGCCGAAGAGAGTGGCTTCGATGGACACGAAAATCCAAGATGGCAGCGCTGAACCTCCCATTAAAGAGCATCGCAATCGCGGAAAACATTCGTAATTTACTTTTACAGAGTCCAGGAACCAGGTATCGCGTTTCTGAAACGGTCAAAGAAAACTCGCAACACCAGGCAAAGGAAGTGACGAATTTCGCGTAGAGCCACGTTTACAAAATTGAATTTGCGGCGTGAACCTGGGGTAAATTCGAGGTGCAAATTGTTTTAAGTCATGTTTTGTAACACGGTTATGAACTCGAGACGTGGC